TTACATATTAGTTCACATGTCTACCCTTACATATTAGTTCACATGTCTACCCTTACATATTAGTTCACATGTCTACCCTTACATATTAGTTCACATGTCTACCCTTACATATTAGTTCACATGTCTACCCTTACATATTAGTTCACATGTCTACCCTTACATATTAGTTCACATGTCTACCCTTACATATTAGTTCACATGTCTACCCTTACATATTAGTTCACATGTCTACCCTTACATATTAGTTCACATGTCTACCCTTACATATTAGTTCACATGTCTACCCTTACATATTAGTTCACATGTCTACCCTTACATATTAGTTCACATGTCTACCCTTACATATTAGTTCACATGTCTACCCTTACATATTAGTTCACATGTCTACCCTTACATATTAGTTCACATGTCTACCCTTACATATTAGTTCACATGTCTACCCTTACATATTAGTTCACATGTCTACCCTTACATATTAGTTCACATGTCTACCCTTACATATTAGTTCACATGTCTACCCTTACATATTAGTTCACATGTCTACCCTTACATATTAGTTCACATGTCTACCCTTACATATTAGTTCACATGTCTACCCTTACATATTAGTTCACATGTCTACCCTTACATATTAGTTCACATGTCTACCCTTACATATTAGTTCACATGTCTACCCTTACATATTAGTTCACATGTCTACCCTTACATATTAGTTCACATGTCTACCCTTACATATTAGTTCACATGTCTACCCTTACATATTAGTTCACATGTCTACCCTTACATATTAGTTCACATGTCTACCCTTACATATTAGTTCACATGTCTACCCTTACATATTAGTTCACATGTCTACCCTTACATATTAGTTCACATGTCTACCCTTACATATTAGTTCACATGTCTACCCTTACATATTAGTTCACATGTCTACCCTTACATATTAGTTCACATGTCTACCCTTACATATTAGTTCACATGTCTACCCTTACATATTAGTTCACATGTCTACCCTTACATATTAGTTCACATGTCTACCCTTACATATTAGTTCACATGTCTACCCTTACATATTAGTTCACATGTCTACCCTTACATATTAGTTCACATGTCTACCCTTACATATTAGTTCACATGTCTACCCTTACATATTAGTTCACATGTCTACCCTTACATATTAGTTCACATGTCTACCCTTACATATTAGTTCACATGTCTACCCTTACATATTAGTTCACATGTCTACCCTTACATATTAGTTCACATGTCTACCCTTACATATTAGTTCACATGTCTACCCTTACATATTAGTTCACATGTCTACCCTTACATATTAGTTCACATGTCTACCCTTACATATTAGTTCACATGTCTACCCTTACATATTAGTTCACATGTCTACCCTTACATATTAGTTCACATGTCTACCCTTACATATTAGTTCACATGTCTACCCTTACATATTAGTTCACATGTCTACCCTTACATATTAGTTCACATGTCTACCCTTACATATTAGTTCACATGTCTACCCTTACATATTAGTTCACATGTCTACCCTTACATATTAGTTCACATGTCTACCCTTACATATTAGTTCACATGTCTACCCTTACATATTAGTTCACATGTCTACCCTTACATATTAGTTCACATGTCTACCCTTACATATTAGTTCACATGTCTACCCTTACATATTAGTTCACATGTCTACCCTTACATATTAGTTCACATGTCTACCCTTACATATTAGTTCACATGTCTACCCTTACATATTAGTTCACATGTCTACCCTTACATATTAGTTCACATGTCTACCCTTACATATTAGTTCACATGTCTACCCTTACATATTAGTTCACATGTCTACCCTTACATATTAGTTCACATGTCTACCCTTACATATTAGTTCACATGTCTACCCTTACATATTAGTTCACATGTCTACCCTTACATATTAGTTCACATGTCTACCCTTACATATTAGTTCACATGTCTACCCTTACATATTAGTTCACATGTCTACCCTTACATATTAGTTCACATGTCTACCCTTACATATTAGTTCACATGTCTACCCTTACATATTAGTTCACATGTCTACCCTTACATATTAGTTCACATGTCTACCCTTACATATTAGTTCACATGTCTACCCTTACATATTAGTTCACATGTCTACCCTTACATATTAGTTCACATGTCTACCCTTACATATTAGTTCACATGTCTACCCTTACATATTAGTTCACATGTCTACCCTTACATATTAGTTCACATGTCTACCCTTACATATTAGTTCACATGTCTACCCTTACATATTAGTTCACATGTCTACCCTTACATATTAGTTCACATGTCTACCCTTACATATTAGTTCACATGTCTACCCTTACATATTAGTTCACATGTCTACCCTTACATATTAGTTCACATGTCTACCCTTACATATTAGTTCACATGTCTACCCTTACATATTAGTTCACATGTCTACCCTTACATATTAGTTCACATGTCTACCCTTACATATTAGTTCACATGTCTACCCTTACATATTAGTTCACATGTCTACCCTTACATATTAGTTCACATGTCTACCCTTACATATTAGTTCACATGTCTACCCTTACATATTAGTTCACATGTCTACCCTTACATATTAGTTCACATGTCTACCCTTACATATTAGTTCACATGTCTACCCTTACATATTAGTTCACATGTCTACCCTTACATATTAGTTCACATGTCTACCCTTACATATTAGTTCACATGTCTACCCTTACATATTAGTTCACATGTCTACCCTTACATATTAGTTCACATGTCTACCCTTACATATTAGTTCACATGTCTACCCTTACATATTAGTTCACATGTCTACCCTTACATATTAGTTCACATGTCTACCCTTACATATTAGTTCACATGTCTACCCTTACATATTAGTTCACATGTCTACCCTTACATATTAGTTCACATGTCTACCCTTACATATTAGTTCACATGTCTACCCTTACATATTAGTTCACATGTCTACCCTTACATATTAGTTCACATGTCTACCCTTACATATTAGTTCACATGTCTACCCTTACATATTAGTTCACATGTCTACCCTTACATATTAGTTCACATGTCTACCCTTACATATTAGTTCACATGTCTACCCTTACATATTAGTTCACATGTCTACCCTTACATATTAGTTCACATGTCTACCCTTACATATTAGTTCACATGTCTACCCTTACATATTAGTTCACATGTCTACCCTTACATATTAGTTCACATGTCTACCCTTACATATTAGTTCACATGTCTACCCTTACATATTAGTTCACATGTCTACCCTTACATATTAGTTCACATGTCTACCCTTACATATTAGTTCACATGTCTACCCTTACATATTAGTTCACATGTCTACCCTTACATATTAGTTCACATGTCTACCCTTACATATTAGTTCACATGTCTACCCTTACATATTAGTTCACATGTCTACCCTTACATATTAGTTCACATGTCTACCCTTACATATTAGTTCACATGTCTACCCTTACATATTAGTTCACATGTCTACCCTTACATATTAGTTCACATGTCTACCCTTACATATTAGTTCACATGTCTACCCTTACATATTAGTTCACATGTCTACCCTTACATATTAGTTCACATGTCTACCCTTACATATTAGTTCACATGTCTACCCTTACATATTAGTTCACATGTCTACCCTTACATATTAGTTCACATGTCTACCCTTACATATTAGTTCACATGTCTACCCTTACATATTAGTTCACATGTCTACCCTTACATATTAGTTCACATGTCTACCCTTACATATTAGTTCACATGTCTACCCTTACATATTAGTTCACATGTCTACCCTTACATATTAGTTCACATGTCTACCCTTACATATTAGTTCACATGTCTACCCTTACATATTAGTTCACATGTCTACCCTTACATATTAGTTCACATGTCTACCCTTACATATTAGTTCACATGTCTACCCTTACATATTAGTTCACATGTCTACCCTTACATATTAGTTCACATGTCTACCCTTACATATTAGTTCACATGTCTACCCTTACATATTAGTTCACATGTCTACCCTTACATATTAGTTCACATGTCTACCCTTACATATTAGTTCACATGTCTACCCTTACATATTAGTTCACATGTCTACCCTTACATATTAGTTCACATGTCTACCCTTACATATTAGTTCACATGTCTACCCTTACATATTAGTTCACATGTCTACCCTTACATATTAGTTCACATGTCTACCCTTACATATTAGTTCACATGTCTACCCTTACATATTAGTTCACATGTCTACCCTTACATATTAGTTCACATGTCTACCCTTACATATTAGTTCACATGTCTACCCTTACATATTAGTTCACATGTCTACCCTTACATATTAGTTCACATGTCTACCCTTACATATTAGTTCACATGTCTACCCTTACATATTAGTTCACATGTCTACCCTTACATATTAGTTCACATGTCTACCCTTACATATTAGTTCACATGTCTACCCTTACATATTAGTTCACATGTCTACCCTTACATATTAGTTCACATGTCTACCCTTACATATTAGTTCACATGTCTACCCTTACATATTAGTTCACATGTCTACCCTTACATATTAGTTCACATGTCTACCCTTACATATTAGTTCACATGTCTACCCTTACATACTAGTTCACATGTCTACCCTTACATATTAGTTCACATGTCTATCCTTACATATTAGTTCACATGTCCGGTTTCAATCATATAGAAATACAATAAATATATTTTGGTTTGTATTATCATACTGTGTGTATGTTGTTTATACAAATATTAATGTGACTGTATGAATATTCTATGGTAGTGTAAATAGGTTAATCACATAATGACAAAACAACACCAATGTGTACTACGTGGAAACAGCCCCACCCCTATAAATCACTACTTACAGGAGCGTGATCACAAAGGCCCCTCCCTCAGGCACGACTGGAGTGTATCCTTGGGAGTGCCTCCAGCTTCCCTGGTCCAGTTGATGATCGACTGGTCATACTGGGTCAGAATGCGTTAACGTTACCAAACTCGTGTTTCAGAGGCTGTGCTGGGGAGTGATGGAGAGACACCTCGACATACGGGATACCGATCAATACACTATGTCTCCGTCCACATTTACATATATGTGTGTGTTGTATATATGATTGGCTTTGTCATTAGTCAACTTCATACTGGCTGTGCATGGCTGTGCACGCTACAACGTGATGTCCTACATCTCAAGTATATACATATATATACAAGGTCAAATATAATAATAGGGTAGTAAGGTACTGTAGTAACGTTAATGGTAGGGACGTGTTCTGATACACGTATGGATTGGCAGTGTATAGTCATCCGCATGCAAAGGCAGCTTTTGAAGTTGGAAATTAGACAAAACAGCTGTGTTCGTGAAGAAAATGATTGAGTAAAAAATGAATGATAGGACATCTGCATATTATAAACAGGCGTGACTCTACTCCAAGGAGAAGAATGGAAATTTATTTTCAACGTTATAGCAATAGTAAAAGTGTGCTGTCGTAACTTCCTAATCGAGTTGACTGAATCCAACATTTAAATAATTTTGATAGTTTGCTCATTACCACGAATTTAACAAATCGGTTCTAACACAAGGTCGATTCCTCTGGAGTCTTACATGTACATCTAAATCACTGACTTGTACAGACAAAACAAGTTAGTATCACAACTAGTTCTAATGTTTCGCTTCCCAGGTTTAACCATAATGGTGTAGGTTTTTTCTAGGTTAAGGTGTTGAAATCGAAGGATCCCCGAAAGTCACTCAGTGAACCCATCTGGCACACTCGACCTAGTTCCTCTCGGTCAAGGTCGTCGTCAAGGAGACATAACAGGTCACAATCTAAAGCTACCAATCATTACATAACTTACCCTTTTGGTCCATTTCGCAAACAAAGAAACAAGGAAATATCGACGTCTCAAGGGCAATACCAAAAGACATCACAGACGTAGTTCGCATTACACGAGATCGCCATCAAAGGCAGGCGAAAGGGTAAGCTCGTCCTCTAGGGAAAGGAAACATGTCGACGTAAAAATACCCAAGTTCTTCCAGCTCAAATTGGTCATCAGGGTCAAAAAAAGACTATCGTTAAGCAGAAGAAGACAAATTGTATTGCATGCACAACAGCACTAGATCCTCTCTCTCTCTCTCTCTCTCTCTCTCTCTCTCTCTCTCTCTCTCTCTCTCTCTCTGAGAGAAATCGACGGTATTCAAAACCACCTTAAAAAGTCATACCGTTAACAGGTCAACTCTAAGAATTTACACTGAAGAATAACGTGAAGTTAAAGTTTGAACTCCATTGGTATGAAAGCGAATACAGGGAAACTAATCAGAGCTTTTTTTTGAAGTTGAAAATAGAAGGCATTGATTTTTTTCCCTACTACGAGGACCAAGACTAGACGTGGCATTCATTACGTGAGAAGTAAAACTTAATAATCTGAAAGGTCTTTTTTGGACAAAGGAGCTAATGGTAGCCAAGCAGATTAAGTTTTGGCAAACATACCAATTTAAAGATGATTCCTTAAATGAGTATGCTGACCGTGTTTGGACTTCAGCTCCATGAATGCTGTAACTCCTCCTCCTCACAGTTATAGCACCAAACACTGATTGTGTTCTCTTTTAGCATTCATGCTAGTAACCGATTGGCTCAGTCGAAACATTCCAGATCCCATTCAGTTCAAGGACTGAGATAGATTAATTTGGTGGTGGAAAAATGACATCAGTTTCTACCTTAACGTGACCAACAATAAAATCAAAAATGACATTTTCTATTTCGGCAAAGAGGTATGACGCGTAATATACGCTAAGCACCTATTTCAGTTCGCCTCATTGACATGATTAATGACTACGTTTAAACGTGCATTCGGTGACTCTGTATACATAAATAGTACATGCACATTCACTGTCGTATATCATGAATATTTAAGAGAAATACAACGAAAACATCCACATTAATACAATAAGCATCAATTTAATGGGTCAATTGATAGTAGTAATTTTGTGTCCGTCAGGTTATGTAAACAAAATATATTAAACAGTTATTTATTTTCATTGCGTTGCCTTTTTTAATCTAGCTTGTTCAGGTATAATTGAAAAGCCCTTTTGTTTAACACGGGTTGTCTACAAACTAGATCATTAAGACAAATACTACTGACTAAATTATATGTGTGACATGTTGACCTTTTGGTGTCATACAGCAACGCAGCGAATTGTTTATGCATTTTCCTGAAATACAACATTCGTCCCATTATCTATATCTAAAGCATTCCCAATATCAAATTATATAAATCTAAACATGGAGCTCCGTTTGATTTTTTAAATTAAATTAATAAAATATAAAAAGAATGCATATAGTATTGAGAAAAAACCCTTATAACTGTCGCAGCTAGGGATGGCGGTGTGATGGGACTATTAACATATCATATGTTTGCTCAAGATGACATGCAATACAAAAACTTAAAACCATATTGGTCTGACTTTGTTTTTTATTATTCTTTAGTAGCTCATGTCTGTGCCATGTTTATGGAGAAACTATTAAAGTTTTACTTGATGAAGAATTTCCTTCTACAATTGGTTCCTTGATGCGCTGTGTGTGGAAACCGATTTTAAAATCCGGAAACCCCACATGTTTTATTGCATATTATTTAAAGTAGCAACTTTGACAGCCTGTTTAAATTAATGAGAATTTTTGTTCTGATTATGCTCATGAGGATAGAATAAATCCGAGTAAGATATCTAAATTTGCCGGAACACAAAACATTATTTATGATTTTACTGTTGGTCACGTTTAGATCAAACTAGGGACAAGTGCGACCTGCCTATTTAAATGTATAACTTGGATCTAGTTTATTCTTAGTTCCATGATCTGAAAAATCAATATGTGCCGTACATTGTTTTGAATAGGCTATTAAAGTTGCTACTCTGAACAATATGTGCCGTACATTGTTTTGAATAGGCTATTAAAGTTGCTACTCTGAACAATATGTGCCGTACATTGTTTTGAATAGGCTATTAAAGTTGCTACTCTGAACAATATGTGCCGTACATTGTTTTGAATAGGCTATTAAAGTTGCTACTCTGAACAATATGTGCCGTACATTGTTTTGAATAGGCTATTAAAGTTGCTACTCTGAACAATATGTGCCGTACATTGTTTTGAATAGGCTATTAAAGTTGCTACTCTGAACAATATGTGCCGTACATTGTTTTGAATAGGCTATTAAAGTTGCTACTCTGAACAATATGTGCCGTACATTGTTTTGAATAGGCTATTAAAGTTGCTACTCTGAACAATATGTGCCGTACATTGTTTTGAATAGGCTATTAAAGTTGCTACTCTGAACAATATGTGCCGTACATTGTTTTGAATAGGCTATTAAAGTTGCTACTCTGAACAATATGTGCCGTACATTGTTTTGAATAGGCTATTAAAGTTGCTACTCTGAACAATATGTGCCGTACATTGTTTTGAATAGGCTATTAAAGTTGCTACTCTGAACAATATGTGCCGTACATTGTTTTGAATAGGCTATTAAAGTTGCTACTCTGAACAATATGTGCCGTACATTGTTTTGAATAGGCTATTAAAGTTGCTACTCTGAACAATATGTGCCGTACATTGTTTTGAATAGGCTATTAAAGTTGCTACTCTGAACAATATGTGCCGTACATTGTTTTGAATAGGCTATTAAAGTTGCTACTCTGAACAATATGTAAACAAATCCTTTTGACACACAGCGCACGCAGGTAACCAAGTGTTACTGTTTATTTAATGTTTCCATTATGTGTTAGTTGGAACATTATGCAGATTGTAAATTGGCAATATAAAGTAAGCTATTCATGGATGTATTTCTTGGGAGGTATGTAAAATTTAGAAACTTAAAAGTAGCTGACCGATTGTGGGTTTTTTTTGTATTCGATTATAACCCTTACTTTTTTTGCGAGTCAGATGATCACGTCGCTCAGAAATGAACACTTTTTAAACATTATATTGTCTTTTATTGCGTTTCATAGTTTGAAACAAGAGTTGAATATACAATTATTTATGTATCAAGTTTCCAGTCTGTCTGGTCAGGCCTGTGTTTAAGTACACCTCCCTGTATATCCATTTTCAGAAAAACAATACTTTTTTTCCATTAACATCATACCAGTATAATTATATATAATACTGCATAAAATATAGTAGGCTTTACACATTGTAGAAATAGAAATAATGACATCAATCAACAGCGGTGACACATTCACCGCAAGTTTTATTACACCAGTGGTTATTAGACAGACAATAACATATCGTTTAATGGTGACACTGGGAAACCATTAGATCATGTTCATATTGTTTAATGGTGACACTGTGAAACCATTAGATTATAAACATTGTGCTTAATGGTGACACTGTGAAACCATTAGATCATAAACATTGTGTTTAATGGTGACACTTGGAAACCATTAGATCATGAACATATTTTTAATGGTGACACTGGGAAACCATAAGATCATAAACATTGTGTTTAACGGTGACACTGTGAAACCATTAGATCATAAACATTTTGTTTAATGGTGACACTGTGAAACCATTATATCATGAACATTTTGTTTAATGGTGACACTGGGAAACCATTAGTTCATGAACATTTTGTTTAATGGTGACACTGGGAAACCATTAGATCATAAACATTGTGTTTAATGGTGACACTTGGAAACCATTAGATCATGAACATATTTGTAATGGTGACACTGTGAAACCATTAGATCATGAACATTTTGTTTAATGGTGACACTGTGAAACCATTAGATCATGAACATTTTGTTTGGTCAAGTTTTCTTCTCGTAGTAGTTTAAGAATGAAACAACTTCTGTTTCATAATTGAGCCAAAACTAAATGAAAGAGATAAAGTTACACTTTTCAAATACATTGAGATATTTTATTAAATCCAACGGAACACTAGGTATGTTTTTCATGTACCGCTTCATGTCACATTTAAAATACCATGTGGTCTACTAAACGTTATCATTTGAGATAAAAATCATCGAGAAACTAGTTAGATTTCAAGCAAACTCATCTACAGTAAATACAGGTAAGAATACTTAAAAGTAGAAATTTAATCTTACTCTTACTAACCAGAACAAAACACAAGAGGAAGGGCGGGGAACGAAGTACATTTGAAGTATTTTTCGCTTGAGAGTTAAACATTTATATAGATGAGTTGATAGGGAAGAACATACCGAACTTATCTTATTAAGATCCAAATTGGCATTATCATCGCAATAACTCTATACAGAAACATGGTATTGCCTCCCTTTGCCTGGGCCACATCTCTGTTCAAAGCACAGGTACTAGCCAGTCTGTCAATACATATATGAGATTATATTATAGGTGTATTGACAGACGAGGCTAGTACCTGTGTACAAAGAGGGGTACAGGACAATACCTTCCCAACATACATCGCTATCACAAATTGAGCAAACGTTGTTAAAATTAGCAGATAATTTATACCAAAGACGAACTTTGCTCTATATGAGCTCAGTGCCATAACAAGGGGGCTTGGTAACCCGATTGAAGCAAGATTAATGTATTCATGTAAAGTGGTTAGAAAGTCCAGATCTTGACATACTTTGGTTTTAATGTGAGCAAAATGCCATAAAATGTGGGTTTTAGAACCCTAGTTAAGTTTGTAACACTCTGGTTGCCCCTAGAATTCAGGTGAGATGTTAATGCAGTTATACTCTGGACCAATTTTAGTATCAGAAATCAACCAAATGTCATAGAATATGTAAAATAACTCCCATAATATCATTACTATAAATAATTAATATATAATGAGGCATGAGCAACATTCTTCTGTCAAAAGATCACTTTTTGTTTTGTTTTATATAATCGCTTATTGTATTTGTGTTTAACATAATGTCTAGTATAGATGTATAAGTCACACCAAACAATACATGTAGATATGGCAATATTGACATCAATCAACGCTGGTTTGTTACAATTGGTGATCTAATAGATTTTAATTGAAAGTTTCCCTTATATTTACAGCAACACAACGGAAACACTCTCTGGCCCCATTCGATTAACTTCTACGGCCTTGAGCTTGACCTCTGTTAGATGGTTCATTCCTTCGTCCCTGCCTTAACCCATTCACCCCTGAAATGTCATAATGAACTATTCCTACCTTTGAATCGGAAGAGTACAAATGTGTCTTCATGAGTGAATGAGTTAACACCATATTCCTATGGCTCTGCCTGGTTTGACCACACTCAGCAGTTATTGTAGTTGTAAACGAGGAATTATATTCCATAGCATTTTACCAATATGGCAGTTCATCCTTCACTTCAGTCCCGACACCAGATCAATATCAGAGATATATATCAGTTCAGATAAACTAGGATATACCCGAACGCATTGTCCTGTCCTGGTCACGATACTTATGTACAAAGAGAGGGTTTGAACCCGTACTGTCCCCTAGGTTTCTATTTCAGGTCCGTATATAAATTATTTCTGGTCTCAGTATCAGTAGTATAGGACACTAAAATAGGAACAGATGTCAAGAAAATCAACTCAAAAAGGATTACTAGACACAAAAAGATAGGTGTTTTGTGATTATACATGAATATCATATGATTTATTCATCATGAGAATCCACAAAATGAGACATAACAGTTTTAGCTATAATCAATGATAAGTAAATTACATACTCACAAATCAATTACGTGTTTCGAAAAGATTTGGTATCAACTTACCTTTAGAAAAGAAATCTAAAATTGAGATGACGAAGTGCAGAATATGAGAAGTAGGTAGCTGAAACCTATGCTTTAACCTTTGATCTTTGAAATTTAAGCTTTGAAAGTGTTAGTCCGGGGCAAACCTTATATACTATTTTCACCTTGAGTAACCGGAGTAGGTATGTAAGTACATTTTGGGATTGAGGAGTGCAGTGTACGAAAAGTGAGGCACTTTGACTTATACGTTGACCTTTGTCCTTAACCTTTGAAATAGTTTGTCTGGGGCATATCTGTTATTCTATTTCTCCTAGAATAACCAGATTTAGTATGCAAGTACATCTTTGAATTGCAGAGTACATGTTGATCGCGTTGATATGCTTTGACTTTTAAAAAAATCTCCGAAGCATATATTTTATACTATCTTACCAAGACTAAACACATTAAGTATTGATTTATTCAATGACCATTTAACTGACTGTCCCTCTTGTGCTTGCTCTTTTGAATATGAAACAGTATTCCATTATTTTCTTGAGTGTCCATTGTATAATGATCTCAGACTTACCATAACCATATTGATACAAACAATTTTCTACAAGGCTGTCCTGATTGTGATGGACTAACAAACAGAAAGTTACTTAATGATGTACAGTTATTTATTGGTAAATCGAGGCGTTTTAATCTCTATACCATCTAACCAGCCATGACGTTATACTTTATACTTTTATAATTTACTATTCCTATTTCAATTATACTCCACAAATAAGTATCTTTACCTACTTTTCTATAAATGGTATTCTTCTACGGACATGGGAGTTTTAAGTTGAGCATGTTTGTTTGTTGTTGTTTGTTGTAAGATTTGTTCAATCTGTCTTGTTTTACAGTTTCCATCTTATACATTGAATTACACATAGACTAGCTATCTGTTTGCATATAACATTATAATAACTTAACAGTTTTGGCGCCTGTGACCTGTGCATATATTTGCCCATGGACTTTTGGTCAATGTCTGCCAATATCTGTGTGATTTGATAGCTATATAGCTTATATAAATTGTAAAATGTTATAAAAATAAATAATACCTGTGGAAGTGTTTTGTGTGTGATGTGAGGAATGTGAATGTATTTGTATTTCAGTTATGTTAATTAAGAAGGAGTTACATCCCTTTAAAAAAAAAATTGTATATAATTTTCATTTCAATATTGATGTATTAATTAAATCAAATAAAAACAACAGAATCCGTTAATTTAGCCACCACTGGAGAGAATTTATATAGGCTTTGCCTGTTATTCCATCCAATTGACTTGTATCAACTTTGTCAATAAAATTTGTTGAAATGAAAAACACGTTAAGTATACAGGTTCATCTTATGATGGCGGAATGCAGTGTCACTGTAATGTGTGCTTTGACCTCTGACTTAAGTCATTGAAAATGGTTGATCGGAGCATATTTCTTATAATATTTCACAAGGAGTATCCAGGTTTGATATGCAGGTAATATTTTAAACAAAAGGTTATTGTGATATATCCTTTGGTCTCTGATTTCAGTCATTTAAACATTTAAGATACTATTACTCCTTTGGTAATTGAATTGGATATGCAGGTATATTCTTAGATGACATAAGTTCCTTTACCAAGAGCAAGTCAATGTGATTTCCATTTTTGACCTCTGATGGATTACCTTACACTATGTTTTGCCTTGTTGGTATTATCATAAAAACGAATAGGTTGTTGTCTAAAAAATGCACACTTCATATACGAAAAGTCTAACGTCGAGAAAATTTGTTTTACAATAATGACATCAAGTTTTATACATTTCAGCACGGTATGCTGTCAATAACGCCAATAAGAGGGAATGCAACAATTACCTATCGGATGTAAAAACTGTTAAGTTTTTAGGAAATACACACAAAAAAGCAAAGCAAAGAGTTTGATTTATTCCACTCTATGCTGACAAAATGGTTAAAGTAGTACTGTTCCAACTCAAAGTGATGTTGTTGTAATTGTGTTATTTATCCTAATTTACTTAATGTCAAAGTATAGTATGTGTAACACTCCCTTCACTTTATTGTTAGTTCCTTGTAGGTCTTTGTCGTACATCTTTCATTTTGTTGTCAGTTATTGATAGGTGGGTAATATATCTATTCATTTAAAGAGCAGAGGCAAATCGTGTGGTCAGGCCGAGATGGCGGAGAATTGAATCATATGCACGGAGCCTGGAAGATTCGTATGGCTTCAGTTGCTGCTTTATTACCGACAAGAAGTGGTCATTGGAATCGAGGTGGGTGCTGCCGAATTGCATTTCAACGCCTGCTAGGACCGTTATACCATCGTAGATATTACACTTGACGATGGCTGGGTTGTCGATCCTCTCCGTGTAAGACCCTAGCGTTACACATGTTCTGTTTTCGTTGTCGATTGGTAATTGAAAAGTGTTCCCGCCATTGTAGTATGCCCTCATGTTGATAGACTCCTCCTCGTCACCAGTGGTTGGAGAAATAAACTCGAAGTCGATCGGTGCAGCCCGGGCACCACTGTAGTCATTGTAATGGTACGGAGCATATACTGGTCCGCTACATATGCCTAAAACCGAATCAACATCAGTCACAAATTGCTCCACCTGATAACAACCACAAAGGAATGCTCTTACAGAAAAATCTGTTGCAATCCATATAAGAACCATTACCAAATCTTTCATAAGCGTTACTTCAGCAGCTGCAGAAAGTAATACCTTCTGTTACAATGCATAAATCTAAGATTAATTGATTTCCTTATGTATGTGCAATAATGAACCAGCATGCATACGTATATAAAATAAGGACAAGAAGCCAGTAGAATATTACAACACGAAAAGGAATGTTCCGCAAGTATTTCAGCATGTATTAGAAACACATCAAACCAGCTTCATTTAGATGGTATGAAAACGACCGAAGAGGCATGCATGTGGGAACAATATCGCTTTGCAAGGAATTGAAGAACGAAAATGTCTTACCCTCATGATAAAACAAGCGATTTCTGATGCAAAGTGTTCAATAAACGAAACTAAGTCTCAAAGACGAGTTGATCGCGATAGATCAATAGACATACTCGTCGTTAACATCACAAACCCTCATTTATATTTATAGATTAATAAGGACCAAGAGAAAATCCGTTTAGATACGGAATAAAAGTACACATATATATTTTACCAAACACTAGTTTCAACATCAATCTAGATCACCTATAATCATCGGATTTGATGTGACACAAGATATTACCTGGATAGAACTTGAGAGGGCGGTCTCCGACCACCTCATCCGTGCCGTTTATATCAAACTGAATACTATCGCAGGCGAAGTAGGACCCCGCACCCTGGCCGAGGTAGGACCCGCCTTCTCTGACGTACTTCTTGATCTCCTCGGCGCCTTCGTCACCTAGAGATTCAATGAATCCTAAATCGAACCCTCCCGGCATCATAAACAGAGCTGCGTCTTTCGCCCATGCACCTGAAACACGTGTAATTGTATATAGTATCCAAACAACGCACTGCGTCGACCGCCGAGTATGCAACATGTCAACTCATTATATGTGCAGTGTATATGTTATTACACATACTGCTGAATCGGCCTTCAATCAACATGATACAAATAAAAACAAGGTGAGCAACTCTGATTACGTCGAAACAAGAATGTTTACCGCAATCACTTCTCGTTTCTTAGATGATATACTTTTTGTTATCTCCTTTAGGGATTTACTGTATGCAATCAATTCAGAATATCGACTTAATTTATTTTACAACAATCACAAAACAAGTTAAACAAACTGATATTAGTCACGCTTGGCTGTCCTGATGGAAGCGCGAAGGATTTCTTAATATGTCGGGCAGGAGACTAACACATCCGACCGTCTTGATGAAAAGCGATTGCTTTCCACTTTGCTATCTGACCATCCAAATTTCAATGGAATCGGGGTAACTAACATATGGCGAAAACAACCTCTCCTCATAAATGATTCTTCACTCAGAACTTTTCCCCCCCTTTTTATACTTCTTAAATGAAGTTCAATTACGATTTCTTTACAGCAAAAGAAAAAAAGTTATGTACACAATAACAATATTTTTTTATCAAGCAAAAATGGTTTTCTTTCTTTCTTTTTTTACCTTGCAAAATATCTTTTGATAGGAGTATAATTCTTGTTTGGATTATGATTTTAAGTTATGCATTTGCATAATTATGTAACTAGTTGTGACGTATGCGCGCCATTATATTTGCCTGAAAGTTTCAATCTTGTAGTATTTTCTCATATTGAGGACAGTTGGTATCAGACTTGCCTGCTTTGACGGCGTTTGCCCCGATGGTGGCGACATCATATGAAGCATCCAGGCGAACTCTTAAGTGCTCCACCAACCTCGACACGTGTATCTTATCCGAACCGTACCCATTGTACACATACACGTGTCTGTTCAATGTCTGGCATAGAATGGCCGGGAAGCACAGAATCTGGAGTAAAGTGATAACTAAAACCCTAAAGTACAATCTCAATAGGTCGTACGTTTTTTACTTTTTCGATACATCAGTTTTGCTGTATGACACTATGTCCAAAGGCACAGTCGAAGTTGCGAGTATTTCCCAGGGTTGAGGCTGTGGAACTGCAACTGGCATAACTGCGTTGAGTGATTACGAAGAGTTGGATTTATTGTTTAAAATGATTAAGTTATTTCAGTAGATTGGAAGCGCCCTCTGGTAGCGAAAACTTTGATAACAAATATAAATAACAAACGACCTTGTGGAGCAAAAAACAAATATTCCGTTAGTATTAATAGCATTTCACATACTTCGGTGATTAAGATATGTAAAATGATGTTCGTTCTGAACCAAAGGATTTTCATTGATTTTTAGGGACTTTGGGAGAATTGGTAATAATAAGGTAAAGAATTAAGATTGATTTAGATTTTGGTAAAGGTTGATATAAAGGATCAGGTTGCGGTTCATTAATTTTATGTGTAAATAGGACATGCCTATCGATGTTATCTGTAATCCCTCGGCCTTAGGTGTAATCAATGGAGGAAATATAGTATAGGCGGGTATACAAATTCAGCGAAATTATTACATATTAATACATATCTACAAGCGGAAAAAATTACTCATGCTTCCAATGGTAATAAGTTCAGCGTATCATATACAGTGGAAAGGGGACGGTGTGAGATTGTTGCGAATTGCACCTTTCTCCTGTATCGGGTATCACGGAGAATATGAAATTTATGACGAAATAAGACGAGATGAGATGACAAAAATGGAAAGAAAATAATAAAACGACAAGACTGCTACGTAAAATATTACCTAAGTGGTTTTTTTAATCTGATGATTATACTGTTTACACAAATATTGACCTATTTCGTCAGCCAAATCCTGATTATGCTCTCAAAAACCACAACCACAGCGGTGGAAAACCACCCCGAACATGCCGTCGAACACGGTGAATTATAAAAGAAAAATATTAATAAAAAGTACATCTTCAAACAAAACCTTTAATAAAGTAGTGATATAATATAATAATAAAAATAAACTTGAATAGCATATGTTACTCTACAATGCATATGACATCTGACTATTTCATTTTTGTGTCGATAAGATAAAGCAAAATAAGGAAAAATGTATGTCTTACCAGAAACACAGCTGACTGCATGACTGATGGTTGGCTGAAGTATGGACCGGCAGACGTAAGCCTAGTTTGTATATAGGGTAGTGAACTCTGCCTGGAATCGAGTTCAAGTATCGCATAAATTTAGGGACGTTTCGTTAACCCGAACATAAGAGGCATGCTGATTCTTCCCTCAGTTGAGGCCAAGTGACATATACATCAGGGCCCATAAGGTACACAAACAACAGATACCATGTGTTACATATATAGTGAGGAACAAACCTAGTGCACAGGAGCTACAACAATTTAAATATATAAAGAATCTCTTTAATTTCAATAGTTGTGATATTGAGGGAAAATACTATTTTATACTAAAATGTAAAAAATTAAGAAACTATTGTATTAGATAACATTACAACAAAAACAGGATCCGCTTGAATTCATTCAACTAATGAAAGCAGGTATCAAGAAAGAGATGAAAACAAAAGCTATTCACTGAAAACTTTTACTTTTACTTTACTTTTCAGTAGTCAACACATGAATTGCTAATAATAGCTGATTGATGAGATTTGTTTAATAAAACTAGCTAAGATTAGTTTGTTGTAAATGAATAGGTAATTGTGTTGAATAGGTATTGTTTATACCAATTAGAAACAATCGTAAGGCCATTTAACGTAATATTATATTAAACATTGAATTGATAAACCTTATAAGTATAACTTGATATTTCAAAAAGATTTTCAACATTACATATAAATAATGACTTTCTTTGAGTTGAAACGTGTAGGATCGTTTCCAAGAAAAAATAACGTATCCGTGTCCTGACGAATTACTCTACACGGATTATTTTAAATGTTGACACTCGGAGATACACCCAGCCACGGGTTGTCATACCTCAATCCTTGCGACGTTCATAACTGAGTATAAATATGATTTTAAAGTCTCTATTTGATTAGAAATGTATAAACTAAATGCATTCTGATTTTCAAAAATCTCATCCTGAAAAGTTTGAATTCATTTCCATTCATTATTCTATTATAAAAAGCTAATATTCAACCCAAATATCTCATTACATAAGTGCATTATCCGTGAACTATTTGTATAATAAAATATAATATCATTAACATGATATCTTATTCAACCTTTTTACTATAAAAATTCGTTCCGATCTAATCTAAGAACAGTAAAGACACTGTTGTGAAATAACAGCCTGAGGCTGTTATTGTCTGACCAAAGGACAGCTTCAGTATCTTTCCTACATGTATGCTGTGAACTGATTTATCTGTAAACCTTCTAAGCAGACAATAAACTTAATTAAATGATATTGGATTAATTAGCTAAACACAAGATGATTAACAATTGGGTACAGCCCTTCAAAACCCCATGTGACCACATGTTCATAAGTCATTGGTAGTCACCACCCGTATTCTCAAGTATATAATATATTGGAAAATAAATATCTATCAGAGGGTGGTTATTCTAATTGTCTTTTTTAGAATCTTGAGGTTGTCTGTGTAATTAATTTTGAGACAGTATTGACATTGCTATAAATATTATGAACAGTATCTGTTAAAGGGTAATTACGTTACCCTTGCAACAACTCATAAATCTACCGCTAACCTTATAAAGTAATTGTGTGTTTAAAACTAGACGTACTTAGTGATTGAAATCTTAAAACTGTATTGCTCTGTACCTTCAAGTTGTGAGTTATGGGACTTATCAACGAAAGAACTGTTAATGTTGAAAAGAGCACACGAATTTATTGAAAAAGTTATTAATTAGAATTCGACAACAAAGCACTTACAAATATGTACAAATATGTACTGCCGACGTTTTGGACTGACATTTATTATAAGTTACGACGTTGTTGTTTTGGAAGGCTAGTCGCAATGATATCTTGAAATCTTATTCATTTTCAGGAGACTATATGCATCAGTGTTAAACCGATTTGAAAACAACTTCGAATGTTGAGATGATATTTGGAGAATTATTAAGTGATATGTGTTGTGGAACACGAGTAGGAAGAAGGCATGCCAGTTGGTATATATTTTCATAGTTTATCATTGTCCACACAGAATAGAGCGGCAATAACATTCCAACGGTATACATAACTGATATGTTATGTTAAAAAATGCATATTCACTATTAACTTTATAGTAAACCAAGTAAGCAATGTCCAAACGTTGCATTATGTACCAAGATAGCGTAGCTCGTATCATATGAAGTGCAGGTAGACCGATAGGTTGGGGTGCTGATCGCAAACATTAGTGATATGGTTTATTAATTATTTTGATAGAGAGATATTGGGTTGTGTCGACTTGTTCTTAGTGATTTTTTTAACAATGTGACCGATAGCGAAAGCGGTATTCGTCAGAGTTTGAGGATACGACTGAAGCTATTCATCAATCGGTAGAACAATTCTTATTCCCTGTATTCCAATCCGCAGATTTTCGGTCCAAACACAGATGAAGCGATAGTAGATAACATGGTATTTACTGAACTAAACAATAATTTTGTTAGCAAATCTTACGAGATAAAATCCGTAATAATAGATAATACTGAAGAGTGCCTATCAAATTGGCACTCTACCTTGCTGTCAACAGCGACTTAATTAGAATATTGGGTGAACTATTGATAGAATTTCTACCCCCTTGGGGGTGAGATTGGGGAATCTCAACCCGAGAGGGACGATTGTTAAGTTGGCAAACACGAGGCTTTGCCTAATGTTTGGCAACTAAAGGATCTCCCCCCGAGGGTTGTGATTCCTCTATCTCACCCTCAAAGGGGCGAATACTTCTTTTTCTCTTGCCCTGTTCACCCAATGCGTATCATAAGAATAATGTAATGTTAAAGTTACAGGTTAAATTCAGGGTTGACCTGACATTGATGGATTGTTGACATGACGTCATTGTAGTGTTGACGTGACTTCATGCCATAATTATGAATAGGGACACCCCCCCCCCCCCCCTCCCCCCTGTCTCAACCCTAGGCTGAGATTTTATATAAGACTATTTCATGCCGATGGGTGTAGGATAGGGAAATTCCACCCGAAATTTTTTCAAATTTGGTTAAACTCGAGGCTTTGCCGAGGGTTTTGGCAATTTTAAAAATCCCGAGGTTGGAAGTTTTATCCTCCTATCCTATACCTCTTGGGCATGAAAAAGTATTTTCTCTCATCGCAAATGCAAAAATAAGTTTTGAAACAATGAAAATACGTTTGTATTTGTGGTTTTTTTTGTACGAATAATTTCAGCGTAAGAGTTCTATGCTTGCCTTTTGTATTTGTGTTACTTTCTGTACGAACGTTTTCAGAGTGTGTCTAACTATACCAGTCTTTTTGTATTTGTGTTACTTTCTGTACGAATGTTTTCTGTGTAAATAAAACTGTACTGGTCTTGTGTATTTGTATTACTATCTGTACGAATGTTTTCTGTGTGAATAAAACTGTACTAGTCTTGTGTATTTGTGTTACTTTCTGTACGAATGTTTTCTGTGTAAATAAAACTGTGCTGGTCTTGTGTATTTGTGTTACTATCTGTACAAATGTTTTCTATGTAAATGAAATTGTGCTGGTCTTGTGTATTTGTGTTATTATCTGTACAAATGTTTTCTGTGTAAATGAAACTGTACTGGTCTTGTGTATTTGTGTTACTATCTGTACGAATGTTTTCTGTGTAAATAAAACTGTACTGGTCTTGTGTATTTGTGTTACTATCTGTACGCATGTTTTCTGTGTAAATAAAACTGTACTGGTCTTATGCAATTATGTTACTATCTGTACGAATGTTTTCTGTGTAAACAAAACTGTACTGGTCTTATGTATTCGTGTTACTTTCTGTACGAATGTTTTCTGTGTAAATAAAACTGTACTGGTTTTGTGTATTGGTGTTACTTTCTGTACGAATGTTTTCTGTGTAAACAAAACTGTACTGGTCTTGTGTATTTGTGTTACTTTCTGTACGAATGTTTTCTGTGAAAATAAGACTGTACTGGTCTTAGGTATTTGTGTTACTTTCTGTACGAATGTTTTCTGTGTAAATACAACTGTACAGGTCTTCTATATTTGTGTTACTTTCTGTACGAATGTTTTCTGTGTAAACAAAACTGTACTGGTCTTGTGTATTTGTGTTACAATCTGTACGAATGTTTTCTGTGTAAATAAAACTGTACTGGTCTTGTGTATTGGTGTTACTTTCTGTGCGAATGTTTTCTGTGTAAATAAAACTGTACTGGTCTTGTGTATTTGTGTTACTTTCTGTACGAATGTTTTCTGTGAAAATAAGACTGTACTGGTCTTAGGTATTTGTGTTACTTTCTGTACGAATGTTTTCTGTGTAAATACAACTGTACAGGTCTTCTATATTTGTGTTACTTTCTGTACGAATGTTTTCTGTGTAAACAAAACTGTACTGGTCTTGTGTATTTGTGTTACAATCTGTACGAATGTTTTCTGTGTAAATAAAACTGTACTGGTCTTGTGTATTTGTGTTACTTTCTGTACGAAAGTTTTATGTGTTAATAAAACAGTGCTGGTCTTGTGTATTTGTGTTACTATCTGTACGAACGCTTTTAGTGGAAATAACTATTGTGCGATACAAATGTAGAATGTGAAGCTCCCATTTGAAATCACTTTTCTCTCATTCTGTGCAGGCATGAAGAATTTGTCACGACAACAAAGGGTTTTAGCTATAATGTATGCTCTTGTTCTGTTCAAGTTAATACAATCATAATGATGCCAAACTTAGGACTTTTGTTGAATGCAGGTTTCATCCATTCAACGGCATTAAGCAGAATAAAAGGAGGTTGTGGACTCGGTTTTTGCCTTCAAAACATTCCTCGGTTTCAGAAACATTTGTTCGTAAGGGTTCTGGAGAACGTCAACTCCTTGGGAGATATCGTTCCTCTGGATTGTCTTCACATAAGGCCCCTGCAGATGTCTATCTTTTTCATCTGGGTCCCAGTTTCCAGGGATTTGGTAGCTTTAGATTCCTTTGCCCAGGCGGAGATTAACTTTGATACTTGAAGGACTCGTCCTTCATGTAGTACCTCTGCACAGGTCAAGCCTCGCCATGACTTTGAACTTGGAAAATTGCTAAATCCATTACTAAATTTAACAATAAAACTAAACCGATTCCGCCATTGACTGTTAATAATACACTGATTCAACATCCAACTGATTAAGCTGATTATTCCAATTATCGACCAATATCTGTAACATCGTGTTTTAGTAAAATCTTAGAAAAAAGTATATTCAAATATTTATATAACTATCAAACAACTAATAATATACTTTCCAAGGACCAATCAAGCTTTAAACCATGTGATTCAACAGTAAACCAACTTTTCTCTTTGTACCACACTATAATTAGCAACCTGGATAAAGGGAAAGAATTAAGGTTTGTATTTTGCGACATCAGCAAGGCTTTTGATAGAGTTTGGCACAAAGGGTTACTACATAAACTAAAAGCATATGGTATATCGTGCACTGTTTTTAACTGTTTTGAGAATTATCTTGAAGATAGAAAGCAGAGAGTTCTAACTGAAGGTCATTTTTCTACTTTTAGGGTTGTTAATGCCGGTGTTCCTCAGGGATCAGTTCTCGGTCCTTTTTAAAAAAAAATTCTATTATACATCAATGACATCACTGATATAGTCCAGAGTAACATTAAGCTGTTTGCAGACGATACATCATTATATGTCATCGTAGACGAAAACCCACAACTAGCAGCAGATTATCTTAACCAAGACCTAGATAGAATTGACAACTGGGCTAGTACATGGGACACTACAGTTAACCCCTCAAAAACCAAATCATTATTTTTTTCTAGAAAAAAAGAACCTATCCATCCTCTAATTAATTTCTCTAATACTTGTGTAGATATTGCCCATGATCACAAACATCTTGGATTAACTGAAGATGGCACTTGGTCTTCCCATGTTCAATTAATATATGAAAAGGCTAGTAAAAGAATAAACATGCTTAGGTATCTGAAATATAAGATTGATAGGAAATCACTATGCAAAATGTATACAACATTTATCCGCCCAATGCTTGAATATGCAGATATTGTCTGGGACAACTGCTCTGACAATCTTAAAAATGTATTAGAATCTGTACAACTAGAAGCTGCAAGGATTATCACAGGTCTAAGGAAAGGTATATCACACCAAATTCTATATAAAGAACTAGGTTGGGAATCTCTGTCTGATCGAAGGATGAACCATAAGCTAATTCAGATGTATAAAATAACTAACAATTTATCACCCACATACCTCCATGACATAATTGATCCTCTTATTCATAACCCAGAAAATGATAGGTATACTCTAAGAAATGTAAGAATGTTTAACCCACGACTATGTCGTACAGAATCCTATGCTAAAAGCTTCTTCCCAGTAATGTGCAACAAGTTCAAGGGACTTGAAATGATACAGTACATTCCCCTACTCTTAATAAATTTAAGGTCAAGGTATATAATAAAATATGTTTTAATAATGATATCTCGGATGTATTTAAAAATTGTGAAAGCAGAAAGGGTAACATAATCTTATGTCAACTGAGAAATGAGGCGAGTAACCTGAACTTTGATCTGTTCACAGATCACTTGAAAGAGTCTCCATCTTGTTTGAGTGGTGATGCTTATGAAACTGCTACACATTATCTTTCACAATGTCCAATGTATACTGATGAGAGACTAACTTTAATAAATGAGATTTTTGAAGTGTGTCCGGTTAATCTTGATACTAAAATCTTCTTAATGGAAGCACTATGTTAAACAATACTGAAAATAAATCTATACTTGATAGTGTTCTTAAATATATATACAACACAAGAAGACTTGTTTAATTAATCAAAACAATTTATACATTTTGTTATATATAGTCATAACTGATAAAATACTGTCCTTAAACCATTATATTCACATTTGCATGGCATTGTCACTTTATAGCCTCTTTGAAAGATGTGTCGATGATGGGACTTTAATTACCATGCATCACGAGACACAATTCTTAGCGTATTAATACAACACTGACCGGATCTACAATATTCAATATAAATAAACATGACGGCTGCTGAAATATCGCTGGGCATTGTGAGATTTGACAATGTCATTGTAAATTTATGTGCAAAATAAAAAATAAAATAAAAAACACTTTTATTACAACGAAAACAAGACCAAGGTCTGCAATACATAATGTATCGTACAAAATGCACATAGGTTGAAATCACCAATGCCGGCAATGGAAACAATTTTAACGCTCATGCAATTTATCAGAAATATCGTCTGTTACACTGCACTGNCTGTTATAGAATCTACCGATTGTTGTCAGGTTCCCATACAATCAACAAATAAATTCACGCCTGGATTCTTCACAAAATGAGCAAAGAGAAAAGTTCGAATTAACTTCCAAAAATAACTCCCTCGTGGAGGGCAAGGTCGGATTTACGGTGTTCACTGTATTTGTCCATGCGCGAAATTTGCTCCGGGTGAAAATCGAAACAATTTCAAATCTAACTTTCAGCTCAGAGTTCTATTGATAAACTTAAATCACCCTATAGACATATCATACGCAATTGTATTGATACTGAATTGTGGAATAAAATTGAAGTGTTTTGTTATACTTTGTTTGCCAATCAGCACGCGACAATACGCTGTTCAAACTATTGAACGAAATTGTGTGGACTGTCGATAAGACGGGCATTTTTAATTTTAAATAAAATTATAAGTTAAAAAAGAACATAAGAGGCAGAGAAAACGTAAATATAAGTATTGAACTGTTTTTGTATGGTATTTATGATCTATTTGAATGTAGCGCGCATTATGTTGTTTGCTTGCAAAGCTGTGTCATTCAAATAGATCATAAATACCATACAAAAACAGTTCAATACTTAAATATGTTTCTACTGATTGTTATATATACATTGATGCTTTAATATTATACACCTAAAGGATTAAGCTTTGGGTGCTGTTTTTACTGATGGGTGCAATAAAGTAAAACATAAATGTGCTAAGTTTGAATTCTTAGTGTTCTTAGGTTGAATCTGGATTCTTCTCGAGTGGATGATATGAGAACGGTAGAGGCCGATAGAGACTTTTTGTCTGAAACTCGATGGGATGAAAGATTTACGCATGGAACACTGGCAATACATCTTACAAATACACTACAACTACAAAATCTTCTAGCTGAATTGCCTCATTTTATTTTTTCATATTTTGATGTTGTTGTATCCCTTACTTTTTATCACTCCTACCAATGATATATATATTGATACTAAATGGTTCTATACTTTTAAGTACTTCATGCAACAGCAGCAGGGTATGAACAGGGGGCATTAATGACTTGCAAAAATATATAAAAAGAAATACAATTGTAGCAATTTCTCTATTTAATATATCATTAGGGCATTGCTTTCCTATTACTAATTAATTATGATTGACTTTTTAATAAAAGCATTGTATAGCTAAAAATATCAATTAAATATTTATATGTAATTAAAACATACATGGAAATATCTCCCCTATACCATCTGCTATATATATGTCTATGCTACTTATTATATATAATTTGCATCAATATTTTCTTACAAACCATTTCATTCATCTTTGTCTTTGTCATGTCAACCTAAGGAGAGAACTTATATAGGCCTAGCCTTCTATTCAATCCTATTGTTTACATAATAAATATGATGAAATGAAATGAAATGACTTTAAACGATAATTCTTCAATAACAGGGAGGGGTGTCTACCAAGACAGAAATACTGATTCTGTGGAATGGTCTAATTATCAGCTCTCAAAGCACATCAATATATTGGCTTTCAAATGCCAGAAGTCATTTGTCTGGCTATGAAAAACTCTAGAGTTGTTTATCCGGAAGAGCAGGGAGCATCACGGAGATCAGACCGTGGCCGCTCGGTTTCTTCAGCTCTGCTTGGAGATGCATTTTCCAATACAGGTAAAAAATAATTCCATGAAGTCTAAAAAGCCTGGCCAATTGTCGTGTCGACGCATCGTCGTCAGTCGTTGACGACGGAATGGCAACTGAAACCCTCTTATTTAGGCGTGTGTGCAAACTTCACGCACGTTTGCCTTATAATCGAACTGTCAGCTACCGACCTACGTATAACCGGTTCCTGAGTACCCCTTTTTTCCGTCCGTGTTAAGCTAGTAAATTCAGTCTAGTTGGTGACTGCATTCGGATTTCGCGTTGTCTGTCCAAAGATATTTTTGTTACTGCCTTTTTATGTGGATGGTTCGTTATGGATAGTGATATGGTAATTATTACTGAAATGAAAACGACTTTATGTCAAGACAATTTTCATGATTCAATACTTAATTCAAGTTTACAGAGTCCTCTTCCTTTTCTCTTTAGGATGTGATTCCTCACTTGATCATAGATTTGATAAAGAAGTAACTATTTCCATATCACGGGTGGAAAGGGATTGGGAAGAGAGGTGTAGGGATTTCCTGATTTTTGTATGACCTTACAAACATATGAGTTGTTGCGTAAGAGAGCATATTAAAGTTATGGCAAACATCATATAATGATATTATTCTTATTTATTTTTTTAATTGTATTGCGTTTCCAGAGATATTTATGCCAATATCCTTGAAAACAGAATAATCATAGGGAACCCATCTTTTACTCATCAGATGTAAAATAAAAAATAATCTTGTTTACCTCAATGAAATAAGATTCTCAAAGTCATGCAAAGGTTTTATTTTATTCTACACCAAGATGACAACATGTAAAAGGTAGTGATGATCAAACACAAACTGATTAAGGGTAATCTTGTTCACTTCAATGTCAGTTAGTCGCACTCCTATGTTGTCAGTTCTTACAGGTACATGTCGCATTAGGTTTCTCTTCTATTCATAAACGGTTTCGTTAAGCGTTATGCTGCAATCTCCTCATTTTATTCTAGTAAATTCATATTAGAATTACACTGGCTATTTCTTTCAATATATAAATGTGTGATATACGAAGCCAATTAAGTTCAATTTATATTAGAATTACACTGGCTATTTCTTTCAATATATAAATGTGTGATATACGAAGCCAATTAAGTTTAATCGTTTAACCGTTTTAAGTGTTTTAGCTTCTTTTCCTTTGTTAAACACAGTGGTGACTTGTAGAGTAAGTACCGACAAGCAAGCATTCTATGTACAGCGTCAGTTGTTTGTAACGAATACAAACATTTAGACAATATCCTACCATTGTAATAGCAGAGGAGGCCAGCGTTAGTTACATGTCTATACATTTGAAACCATCGCATCAGGGCGGGTGGTCAGGCCGAGGTTGCGAAGGAGGAAGTCAAACACGCGAAGCCTGGAGGACTCGTGTTCTCGCAATTCTTGCTGCACATTCCCCAGGTACTCATCATTACTGTTGAGGTGGCTAGCGCCAAATTCAAGATGGACGCTAGTTAAGACCGCTAAACCCTGGTAGGTATTACACTTGACGATGGCGGGATCGTCGTTCTTTTCACTGAAAGAACCCAGAGTTACACATCTTGTGTTTTCGTCTGCCATCGGTATGTCAAAAGTGTTTCCGCCATTATAGTACGCCCTCATATTGATGGACTCTACATGTACATCGACACCAGGGGTTGAAGGAATAAACCGGAAGTTGATCGGTGCAGCCCGGGCACTACTGTAGTCATGGTAACTGTACGGAGAGTATACTGGTCCCGTACACACGCCTGAAACAAAATCAACCTCATTCACAAACTATTCCACCTAATAACAACTAACATAGGAATTACCTTATTGAAACGTGTTACAAATTAAACCAAATTCACAAACCACACTGACAATGCTTTTGGCAACGATGCTCGTGTTTTCGCATGCCCAAAAAAATCAACACAGCTTCCCCACATGGCTCTACATATTTCACTTTCATGTGTGGTTTAAATTAAATTACTAAGCATCAATAGAATAAAACTTAATTGCATCCCTACGTTATTCCTTCCATCTTGCGGCATATTTTTTAATGACTGTCAAGATTTTTGACCGATATCTTTTGGTGTTAATAGTAAACGAGCAGATGAAATGGACAATAACTTGACAGGGTTGCTTCTTAAGTGGTAAAAATCATGCTAGTGACTTAATAAATAAGAGAATTTTATCTACGTGACAACGTGCTTCTTTTTTGTTGAAAGACACTAAACGACAAAGACGCCTAACATAATAGATTGAACAGATGGTGTCACATACACGGAACGAAAACAACCGAATCGTGCCTTCTTAAATCCAAATTTTGTACTAGTCATATTAACACAGACAAATATTGATGCTTTATTTTATAATCTGAATAGAACATACGATTAAATGTTTCTTAAACACCTTCATCATCTTATGTCTACAACACCTACATAAGTCATATTTAATGAAAGTGACACAAAATATTACCTGGATAGAACTTGAGCGGACGGTCTCCGACCACCTGATCCAGGCCGTTTATATCAAACTCAATACGATCGCAGGCGAAGTAGGACCCCGCACCCTGGCCAAGGTAGGACCCGCCATCATTGACGTACTTCCTGATCTCCGTGGCGCCTTCGTCACCTAGAGAGTGATTGTATCCAAGATCGAACCCTCCCGGCATCATAAACAGAGCTGCGTCGTTCGCCCAAGCACCTGAAACACGTACCGCAGTATCGTTACATAGCATACAAAGCAAACCACTGTGTTAACCTCCGGTGTGGAAGGGAATCAACGCCATAAATATACTTGATCAAGTTAGTTACTTCCAGTTTGTAATATTATTCCAGGAACATTTGTAATATTTCCTTTTCTGAGTGGTGGTTTTGTTTTGTGTGTTTTTACATTTGTTTACAAGTCTACTGCTGTGCTGCTTGTCATGCTATGCTTTTGTGTTTTATTCGTTTCCTTGCTATGCTAACTTTTCCGACCGCATTTTCGAATTTCGTTTTCATTTCACCAGGGAAGCCGATATCACAATTTATGTCAAAATGTCTGGTCAATGAGACAGTGGTTATGTTGTGCTATTATAACGTTGATGTATGCGAAAATGTTAAGATATGTACATGCACGCGTGTACCCCCGGCAGACAAAGCTTATTTGTCAAAGACAAACAGGGCTCACTTGTCTACAATTGCATTATGGAAAAGGCTTTAGGAACGTTTTAAGTTGATGGTTTGTTGGCAAAAAAACATCAACGCACATGTGTTTTTATTTTAATTTACGAATCAAGGTATAACAATATATTAATCAATTTTGTTGGCCCAGAATATAACGCGCATGGGGTATTAATGTAGGAAGAAACCGGATTGCCCGTCAAAACCCCATGTGGTCGGGCAGTTGACCTCATACGTCCCCTATCAATAATATATATATTGATACTAAATGGTTCTATACTTTTAACTACTTCATGAACAGCAGCAGGGCTGCCAGTAAAAACGCCATGTGGTCGGGCAGGTGACCTCATACGTCTCCACGTGTGCTCGGGGATTCAAACCAAACCCACTTTAGTGAAAGGCGTGTTCAATACCTACTCCACCAGCCGAACACCTTGTGTACCACGTATGATACATGAATATTGACCAATGAAATGTGTCGTTACATTGCCGACGTGGTAAATATAACTGTTGAAAACAGGTAAAACATCTCTAACATCTTTTAATGGGTACATTTCCAAATTATATAAAGTATTATATAATGTATATTTTTTCGAATTTGTATTGGTATACAATGCAAACAAAAATTTAATGGTGACAAATTTAACATTAGATAATTAAATAATAAAAATAGCTTGGTGTTTTAGAAGCCTGAATTTTATGGAGTAAGTGGTATTTTAAAAAAAATAAAGAAAATATAAAACAAAAGAAGATTACATATTGAAGTTTTTCTGTTTGTTTTATTGAAGATGTGTTCATATTTAAAAACAGTTAATCACGTCCGTTAAAAAAGTGCCAATTTTCTGCAAAACAACCCATTTTTTTGGAAGTGCTTACAAGCAAATAAACTTTTACCTTGCCCTCCGACTAAGTAGGTAATAATTCGCGGAATTGTTATCGCCCAGACCAAGTGTATCGACATACTTGTCAAAGTGAAGTTGAAGCATCCTGTTTCCCCTGACTCTTAAGTCCATAACAGAATACCATGCGATCCTTGAATGATGCTGACTCATTTATTTGAGATTATTTGTAAGTGTTTTATATACAATCGCATGACAGCCAAGCGTGTTCAATTGTTGCCAATTTGTTCATGGAGCATTTGAAACGAATAGCTTGAAAAGAAAGGTTTTGCTCTCCATTACTTCTCTACACCCTTAAAATATACCATAACAAACCTTACATAAACAACAATACTGACTATTATCATCTTCGCCACAATATAATTTTTGATGTCCCAAAACCGAGAACGCAGTTATAGGAGGTTAGTTTTTCCCAACTAACGTCTGAATGGAATACTCCAACTTGCCTGTATCCCACAATGACATCCATCGGAGCTATAAAAAGAGATTTTTTACACTCAGCTGATATGGATTCTCAATGTACTGATATATGCAAATACCATGGTGATCGAAAATTAAATATTACCTTATGTCGACTAAGAAACTATTCCAGTAATCTGAATTCAGATCTAGTTGAATCTCACCTAAATGATGGCCCTGCCTGTTTATGTACTTTTCATGTTGAGGATAGTGACCACTCCTTCCTCCACTGTTCCCTGTATACTAATCAAAGGCAACTTCTCCTGAACTCCATTTCTACTCTTAATAATGCTATTCAATTAAAAACCCATATCTGTCTTCATGGGTATGAAAGACATGATATCAATACGAATATAAGTATCCTGGAGAAGGTCAAGAGATTCATTAAAGATACTAGACGTTTTTACTAGATTACACTTATTTATTTATAAATTATAACATGACTGATACTAGCACAAAATCGTACGTTTAGTGTGTGCTGTCCACCAGCACCATTTGACTGATGTTTGTGTCATCTAGTTTCTGTATCAACAATCGCCAAGAAATATATATAAGCATGTATTACGTTATTTATATATAATACAACATATGTTGTCATTACTACAATATGATGCGTGTCACTGTTTATTACTGTAAGTAGAGGGCGCTCATAGGCTTTGCCTGTTGCCCAATTTATTTGTATCTAAGATCTGAACAATAAATATTCTAATGAAAAAATGTCATAACAAAATTGAAGGCACACAATAATATCTTTAACTGGTTTCATGTTCTAAAAACTGATCAATCGCTATGCTGATACTTTTTCCTGTCCCTTGAACCTGTCGATTCAACAGTCTCACTGCTGCGCGATTATTTTGCTGTTCATCAAAGACATCAGACTTCTCTACATGTACAGACCCTGGACCGTTTTCTTTACCAAAAGTGCGCTGCGTTTGCGCTTATACGGACAAGACAAAACAGTCGAGGGTCTGTATCATTCAACAGGTATCCTGTAAGGAGTCTTCGATTTAGTCATAACATATCCAAAGAGTATGTTAATATAAGTGTATATATGAAAGATATGTGTGTTTAAGTGAGCCGAACCCTTTGATTTCGATAATGCTGTCCCCTTAGAGCGGAGGACAAGCTTAAGTTTGTTGACGACAAACAAGAGATAATCAGGACAGGGTCACAAAAAGATCCCATATCAACAACGAAGATTCAATAAACAGCATTAAATTCTCAAAAGAGCAAAACATCAACGGCATTATGCCCTTTCTAGTCACTCTACTAGTAAAGAAAGTTGACGGAACCGGAAAGGCAATGATCTATAAGAAAACGACGCATACAGACTAATATTAACGCCAAATATCACTATCCTTGCACACCAGATGTGATACGAATGATCAAAACCAACAGGACAAGAGCAGAATCACGCCAATAGGGCAATAAAAACATGCGGATATCAAGAATGGGTACTCAAATGGGTACACAAAAAATCAAGGTTAGAATAAAAAGAAATGGCCAATCAAGGAGAAGAATAAAGTTCAGGTGGTCATCCCTAACATATTATCCAAAACCATCTAGAGGTTTATATCGCGGCTATGGCATAGCAACAGCTATGAAGCCAAAACAAATGATACAACATTAAAAGTAAACATTGTAGATTGAGTGTACAAAATAGGACGTAAGAGCTGAAAGGCAATTTGGGGTCCGCCTTGTTGACCACTTGAAAGGAATCTGTCGGAGTCCTAGATAAATAAATCGGGAATCGTATATCAGGCAACACAGTAAAATCGTTATTTACTTGGATTATTCCAAAGTGTAAAACAGAGAGAAAGAGAGAGCAGTCTGTTCAAGTGGCAGATAAGTTCTGAATCGAGATGAGAGGGATCATAGACTCTGACACATATAAGACCCCGAATCAATTCGTCGACTTGATTGTCATTCCGTTCATTTACAACTAATAAGCGTTCATACGTTTTTAGCGTAGCCGATTCGACATTGATTTCAAAACTTCACGAACATGGGGCCTAATAATTTTGTTCGGAAACAGTATGAATAATTCCAGTTAATCTTATAGAAGATGACATAGATTTTGAAAATGGTTGGTGCAACTAACATTTTTTTCCTCATTGTTTTGACAAGTAAGGATCAAATTGCCGTTTCTGTAGGAATCGACTCATGGAAAGATATACATATGTACCAAACTGGCTTTAATATCATGTAGCTTTATTAGTCACTGCTGTTAACCCCAAACCGTTAGTGTCGAGACGTCTATATATAGCATATATGCGACTCGGGTGCATTTAAACCGCGGGTACTCTTAAGATTCACTTAAGCTTGAGTGGTTTTTTTAATCACAAAAAATAAATGCATAATGACATTGTAGCGTAGAATTTGTTTTTGCTTTAAAATATTATCCCAACAAGTATAACAATCAAATACATGTAGTCAATGGGCTTGACTCATGTCTGTATTACATGCCACGTACTACCTGCAATATAATTTTGCATACTCAATAAAAGTGTTTATACTTTTTTTTTCAAATATAAAATATTCAATACATTTACCGCTCTTACTATATGGTATTTGGATGAAACTTTTAATCGTTCGCTATTTTCTGCAGTTGATAATGAGGACAGACTTGCCTGCTTTGACGTCGTCTGCCCCGATCGTGTCGACAACATATGAAGAATGCAGGCGAGCCCTTAAGTGATCCACCATCCTCGACACGTGTAGCTCGTCCGAACCGTACCCATTGTACACATACACGTGTCTTTGCAATGTCCGGCATAGAATGGCCGGGAGGCACAGAATCTGGGGGGAAATAAAAACTGAAATCACAGGGCTATAGAACATAATAATGTAGGAATATCAGTATATCTTACATCGTTTATAAAATTTAATACATATTTACATTTGTTTAGCTGTGTTATAAACGGGAAATATTAAACAGAAAACATGAATCCTCAAACGAAATAATGAATTACTTACAGAGTATATGTTACTGCTTATAACATATGCATCTCTGATGATTTCAATTTTGTGTCAATAAAATAAAGCGTAATAAGAAAAATGATAGCTTACTAGAAACACAGCTGACTGCATGGTTGTTGGCTGGCCGCAGTATGGGTGGGCATACGTAGGCCTAGGCTTTGTATATAGACAAGTAAACTCTTACCGGAAATGAGTTCAAGTGACACATACTTCAGGGAACATGTGGTACACTGACATCATATACCGCGTGTTATACACATATCACAGGTCATGAGACCAAATTATAGCAGAGGTCATGAAATACACGTACATCAGAGGTCATGTAATACAAGTACAGCAGAGGTCATGTAATACACGTACATCAGAGGTCATGTAATACAAGTACAGCAGAGGTCATGTAATACACGTACATCAGTGGTCATGTAACACACTTATAGCAGTGGTCATGTAACAGACTTATAGCAGTGGTCATGTTACACACTTATAGCAGTGGTCATGTAACAAACTTATAGCAGTGGTCATGTACAACATGTTCATCAAATGTCATGTAATACATGTTCATCAGAGGTCATGTAATACACGTACATCAGAGGCAATGTAATACACGTAGATCTGAGGTCATGTAAAACAAGTTCATCAGAGGTCCTGTAATACACGTACATCAGCGGTCATGTAATACACGCAGATCAGAGGTCATGAAAAACATGTTCATCAGTGGTCATGTAACAACCTTATAGCAGTGGTCATGTAACACACGTAGATCAGAGGTCATGTAAAACATGTTCATCAGAGGTCATGTAATACACGTACATCAGACGTCATGTAACACTTATAGCAGAGGTCATGTAAAACATGTTCATCAGAGGTCATGCAACACATTTACAGCAGAGGTCGTGATACATAATTATAGCAGTCGTCATGTAATACGCGTACATCAGAGGTCATGTCACACAGTTATAGCAGTGGTCATGTAAAACACATACATCAGAGATCATGTAACACATTTAAAGCAGAGGTCATGTAACACATTTAAAGCAGAGGTCATGTGACACATTTACAGCAGAGGTCATGTGACACAATCACAGCAGAGGTAATGTAAACCATGTACATCAGAGGTGATGTGACACACTTGTAGCAGGAATCATGTAATACGTGTACATAAAAAGTTTTGTGACACACGTACATCACAGGTCATATGACACAATTACAGCAGAGATCATGTTATAAACGCAAAGCAGACGTCATGTGACGCACGTGCATCAGATATGATGTAAACACGTACATGTACAATAGTGATGCATGTACAACAGGCGACATGTGGAAAACATACTCCAGAGGTCATGTGACACACAAGAGAGTTCAGGTTTCACACTTACAGTAGAGGTCATATGACGCAAAAGAGTGTTCATGTGGCAATCATACATCAAGGTCCTGTGACACGAAAGAGAGTCATGTGATATACGTGTATTAGATGTCATGTTGTACATTTTCAGCAGAGGTCATATAACACACGTACAGCAAACGTCATGTGATGACACACGTAAATATTGTTAATGAGGCACACAACACAGATCATGTAATAAACATACATCAGCGGCCATGCGACATCAGATGTAATGTGATGACCGCACTTTAGAAGACATGTGTCCATGGTCATGTATCACACGTATATCAGAGGACATGTGCTAAAAATACAAGAGGAATGTGATACACTGGCACCAGGTGATCTGACACACTCACGTACATCAAAGGTAATGTGACACACATACTTCAGACGTCACGTGTCAAACAGAGGTCATTTGACACATTATATTAGAGGAAATGTGTAACAAAATTCATCAATGGTCTTGTGTCTGACGTACATCAGAGGTCATGCAACACATGCATTTCAGAGGTATTTCGACACATCAGAGGCCATGTGACACATGCAAATCAGCGGGAAAATTGAGGTGATTATCATTGAGGACTCCATAAAGAAACCACAGTAACAAGTGGAAGACAATGCCAGGGTTTATTGAGATTTTTTTGTCGAGAGATTAATAACAGTGTCAAAGATGTAAGTTACAAACAGTCAATGTTCCTCACACTCTACCTGTCATACCACCGTCATCACCGCTTGTTAGGTATTAAGATATTGTAGACACATTTGTACAATGGTCAGAGTCAGTCTCCACACCAAAGAAATCATAAAGGTTTTTTTTCAACAATGGTGTTGAAGCTTTTTTGTAAGCTATATCCTTAAACCCTGATGTCAAAATACCTCTTATTTCAATAGTGATGTTGTATATTTGAACACACCAGAAGAGAGGTCCAGTATTTCAGAGGGAAAATCACAAGAAAACTTCAATGTATAAATGTGCCTACAAACAGATGCTGACGTGTATGTTTTACAGGTAGAATATAACGCTGTCCGTCACGTGTTCCACCAAAATCTGTTAGACCGAAAACACTACCAAACAATTAAACATCAAACTAGTTGCAAAAGAAAATGTTTCTGATTTCACAATGATGAACATCTAAACTATGATAGAAAAAATCTACCAAATTTGTCCGGGACGAAAATGCTCTTTTCCCCCTTGTTGAAGTAAAGAAAATAATGAAAATAATGAATTTGACCTTTGAAGAGTGATTTCTACATATCATGTTTTTTACAGTTTAGGAAATTAAAAGTAGAGCAAGACTAACATCAGTATGTTACATCACTATCATTGCATTGCGAAAGTATTGAATCAGCATTATGATTTAAAAGCATTCTTAAGTTGAAAAGTTTGGCTTAAGTTACATATTAATTACAGATAGAGAATACTAAAAGATAATTTTAATTTTAATACTGAGTAAGTCTATTTAGTGTTTATACGAAAGTAAGGCTGATTTGGTTTGGAACTATTCTTTATTCCAAATTGAACGTATTTGCTTTTTAAATTGCTGAAACAAAGGCTTAAACGTGTTTTATAATCTTTCCTCTGAATGCACTATTTACAGGTTTGTTTGGGTAGAGAGATATTGACAAATGTGTCCCGAATTTCTTATGGTGGATATCCCATCTCGTACAATTTTGACTGAACAGTAAAAAAACAGAAATCTTCACTATTCTGATCAATGAAATATTTATTTTTTGTCTGATTACAACCCGGTTTCGTGAGAAACGTCATAATAAAAGGTTCGTTTTCGTGCAGTTAATTAGAAGATCACAGTAGTAAAACGCTAACTTATCTTGAAAAATCCATATTCCACCACTCCATATAATAGGAAAAGAGGAAATATCTTATTTTATTAAATACAAATTGTTTTACATCTATTATGATATAAAGGCACATGTAATGGTGGTAATGGTCTGACAAAATATTTAGTGATCTGACAAAAAACCACACATTTTTGTTTCTGGACATTACTGCTGTTTTTACTGTTATGTCAAAATTGCACGTGAGGAAGTTTGGTCATCCTAAAAATATCCCTTATTCTCACATACCTTAACCAAAGTGGCGTTTCTACTTAAAATCATGATAACAGAAAATAATTCAATAACGTGTTAGGCATTTTTGTTTTTGGTTTAGTATTGTTTCACGTCCTATCCACATCTATGGTCATTTAAGGAAGGCCTCCTCTGTGTGCAAGATGAATGCATGTAGTGTATGCGTGTGTGTTTTAGGAGGCTGCGATATGTTCGTGTTTGTCTCCTTGTGGTAGCGCGGAACTGATGTCGACTTTATAGTGCTACCTCATTGATACATACTGCCGAAGACACTCAGCAGGACACCCCACCCGGTCACACTATACTGACAACGGGCGAACCAGTCGTCCCACTCCTAAATTGCTGAGCGTTAAGCAGCAGTAGAAACTACCATTTTTACAGACTCTGGTATGTCTCGGCCAGGGGACAGAACCCAAAGCCTTCCTCACAGGGACTAATGCTCAACTAAAAGCCAAAAGTGAGGCATTGCCAAGGGAATCATTAAGAAGAAAGTTGTTTAGAAAGAAGAGAAAAGATAAGATCCCAAATTTAGTCGCCTCTTACGATCATGCGATGGGGGCAGCAGATACAATTCTTACGCCCTACCTGCAGAGAGGAACCATTTGTAGAATTCAGCAAAGATTGATAGGGGTCTTTACAACACTTTACAAAGTTACTAACTTTTAACAGATAATTTATACTTTATCTAGCATCTCATGTTAACACTGCCAGAGATATTCCAGCTTCAAAGCTACAGCCAACCTCGTAGGCTGATAGTCCATCAGCTTGATACGAAAAAGACTAGAAATGCGAAGGGAATGAAGCACAATTTCAAAACGTTTTGATGATAGATGCAGAAAGCCAAACCGAATTAACACTTTAGGGCTACAAATGAGCCATGTTTGCCAATTTTGCAGGTTGATTGTTTTTTGTGTGTGCATGCATAATTGGACACTTATGAAAATTAGAAACAGATACTATATTTTAATCAATTTAACATAATTATATTGCTGTTAAAATTAGTATTTTCTATCTTCAAAACACAGTAAAAGCATATATCTTCAATTTTGAACGAGCTATTTAGTCATATTGATAATTCAATATTGTTCAGTATATTTCACATTCAGATATATCAACAATGTGATTCTTTAACTAAATTGAAATCTATTGACCACGTCGATCGTACATACCCTCTTGAGCAAGAAATCAAATCCTTTACGGACTCTTCGGCTGCTTTCCTTGATCTTTACCTACACATGAACAACAGGGGTGGCTTAATTCCAACCTGTACGATAAGCCGGACGATTCCGATTTTCCGATCGTGAACTTCCCCCTCCTTGATAGTTACATCCCGGATTCCCTGGTCAAGTCGCAGTTGATTCGGTATTCAAAACCTTTCTTAAAGTAGCATGAGTTTGTGTCATCTGTTGACGGGCTTACTTACAGAGGGTTTCCTAAGAAGCAGATTGATAAAGACAATGGGCAAGATGTTATGTTTGCCATGGCGATCTTATCGGAATAGTGATGCTATTAAACAGTCGTGCAGTGTAGATGTGTTTAAAAAGAAATACATAGAAATGTTTTACAGTAAGTAATAAGTGTGATACATAATAATATCTGTGATATATATCAATGTATATATGCATCTTTTATTAAGATTGTATTTATTATCATTCTACCATCATAATTGTCTTATTAAGTCTGTACATATGCATAACAGGGCCGTATTGTAAACTAAACTATGTCTAAAT